TGAATTCGACACAATCTGTCCCTCATACAATTTACAAAACTCAAGATACAGACAACAAAACAAGATACACACACAATCTGACACAAACAATTTACAAACCTGCTACAGAAATTAGACTACAATATGGAGCCAGCATGTCTTACTATCAAGTCAATAAAACACAACTGGCAAAACACTGATCTACTGACAGACACCAAATCGAATTTGGATTAAAATCGAAAAATGAAAACACTTTACTAAACTAAAACATCAAATATTCTTAATTTTTAAAAATGTAATACTACTGTTTCACTTATATATATAGGAGGTTATATATATATATCAGGGGTGTAATAATGACAAAGAACCTGACAAGGCAATATTCAAGATGCATGTCAATAATGACAAAGAATGACAATGACAGGGGTCAATAATGCAAAGAATGATCAATGACAGGGTCAATAAATGACAAGATGGACAATGACAGGGCGTCAATAATGCAAAGAATGACAAGTGACAGGGTCATATATGACAAAGAATGACAATGACAGGGGTCCAAAATGACAAAAGCATGACACGCTATAATGACAATAAAAATAATGACAATAATTTGTCATTATTAACGCCTGATATGTATATCATATATATATATATATATATATATATATATATTATATAAGTTATATAAGATTTGTCAATACATGCTTCATGAAGTATTCGCATGTAGAAGAACCTACATTGGATGAGCGGTGGTCTCGATACACCTTGTGCAGCTACTCAATGGTAACACAAAAATAGAACGCACTCGGATCTTCTGTAAAGAATGAAATTACTACATGGAAATACATTGTATCATAAAATGCTTCTGTGCATTACTCTCATTTACTTAGGCTATGACCACACTTCATGCACCAAACAATTGTTACTGCAGATGCTAGTTGAAAATATGAAATGACCTAAGCTTATAAACTATCGTCAGCAAAAAATAAACTTTTAAACGACTTCAATACAATTAAATTTCATCCTGAATATTATTTACATATTACATTCATACAATTAAAAAAAACTATGTGCACAATGACAAATTGATTAATTCTTATGCCAGTAAAAAACACTATCATAAAGGGGTGTTAGCATAATTGCAAACGATGGTGTCTCGGCATCAATAGCTACCTGTTGCTGATGATGAATTATGGCACAGGTTTTCCAGCTGGGAAGTAGGTAACTGGAACACAGGTCTTGAAGTACTTTCTTACAGCCGTCTCGACTCTCTATGAACTGGCAAGCACACAAAGTTCAAAAGTCACTCTTTGACAACATTATTATATTGTATATAATATACCGTGCACGCACACATGCATGCCATGCACATATATAGACAGCTCTGATTATAAAACATGACGAGGTAGAAGCTATATTTACTAGCCTAGGCCTTGTTTTGGAGTTGGCAATCGCTATGCGGAGACACGTGTGTGGGGCGCCGTTCCTTTTGTTGAGGAATTGCTAGCCATTTGGAGTGGTCTAAACACTGTAAATGATGCACTGTCCATAGATTTTTGAGTATCAGCCATTGCCAATGTATGGCATTCATGATCACTTTGCCGAGTTTCTAGTGTGGATGCATTTGTAATCTCGTTATCTGTGACAGTACCATTAAGGGCTGATACATATTATACATATGCAGACATATGAAATCGCATACTTGTATGCGGAATCGTAGCCCTCATTCTCATGTACAAGTAATTCTTCAAATTCTAATCATTGATGGAACTAGGGGTGTACTGTTCTGCCTTGCAGATATCTTTGCTTTCGTTCCACTGTGTATCGCCTGTGTTGGAGAATATCAAACCAATCATTTCCTAGCAGTTTTCTATTTACAAAAAGATGGCCATCTGCACCAAAACGAATCAGTTTGCTGCTGAGAAATTAAAGATAATATTATGTATAAACAATAACTGCTGGATAAAATAAATTACCGACATATCTACTGTACCCCTCAAAATACTATTTTAAAAAGGCTGGTTGAAGCAGTGTATTTCACATTTATTAGATTTTGGTTGCATATAAAAAGATTACTCAACGAGGTTACAATTAAGGATTCCTGACATCTGTTAAGTCATGGAGTCCAACAGTAAAACAGAGTATTTGACGTCAGATTTAATATCAGATAATTTTGCAAGGGTGAAACAAAATATGAGAGATTTCTTGGGTGACATATGCAATCTTCTCGCAATGTTCAACCATCTCCTATTCAATGGTCATACACACAGGCCACTTGGAGCGCTTTCAATAAAATACATGCAAATAAATACGAAATCTATTTACTACCAAGTCTTGGTTCTATTACTACTCTTTCCCCTATTATTGCGACAATTTCCTGCAAATGCCGTCCAAATGCTCATCTGTAACAAACGCTGGCTGCCGCCATGGCTGCCGCCCTGCACACTGACACATAACTATATATTTATGTGTCAAGTGTGTCAGGCAGCAGCCAGCGTTTGTTACAGCATGCGCATTTGGACGCATTATGAGGAGAAATTGTACGCAATAATGGTGAAAGACGAGTACTAGAAACATTAAGACTTTGGTGTAAACTAATTTGCGTATATATTTAGGCATTTTATATTTTATTGAACGCTCCAAGTTCCTGGGGTCATACAGATATAAAACTATGCATGTATGAGTAATGAGCACACATGTAATTACGTGCGTCTATTGTACGTTGCTCTACACCCCACCTTCCCCTCTCCCACAGTCCCACACACATACTTTCAAAATCAAGTTGGTGCGCTATCCCCTCCACCTTTAGGATATTTTGGCTCCACCCAGTGGAGAGAGGATCGAAGAACAAGAAAGGGACAAGACCGGTCGGGAGACAGAAGAGAGATACTAAGATAGGTAGATACACAGCCGGATGGAGACAGCTGGATAGATAGATACTGAGGCTCATAGGGTCTATGTCCTCCAGGTACGTGCCGGAACGTACCCGGGTATGCGTCCGGTATACCGCGAACGTACCCTGGTCACTATTTGATATGGTTAGGTTTAGGATTAGGTTAGGGTTAGGTTAGGGTTAGGGTTTAGGGTTTTGGGTTTGGGTTAGGCGTTTAGGGAGAGCGTAGGCAACTCCCTACTCGTTAGTGGAGTAGCGAGGTCGCGTCCGCGATATTAGATAGTACAGGGTACGTTCCGGTATACCAGACCGTACCCAAGGTACGTTCCGGCAGCACCCTGGGGGACATAGACCCTCTCAGCGATACAGAGATAGATAGATAGATAGCTAGATAGATAGATAGACAACTGGATAGATAGCCAGATAGACAGATAGATGTATCGATAGATTTAGTTAGATAGATAGATAGATAGATAGATATCTAGATAAATGTTTTAGATCATACCGACGTATATATAAATGGTAATTAAATGGGCAGACAGACAGACGGACTGACAAACAGACAAACAAACAGGTATTTAATATATATAGATACATAGGTATATATATATAGGTTAGTATTAGTACTGATAATACTAATAGTATGGGTGGGTGACACTAACACGTGGACAATGACAGTGACAGTGACACTGTCCCTGACGCTCATATAGGGTCTATGTCCCCCAGGCAGGGTACTGCCGGAACGTACGCTGGGTACGGTCCGGTATACCAGAACGTACCCTGGTATTAACTATTTGATATGGTTAGGGTTAGGGTTAAGGTTAGGGTTAGGGTTAAGGTTAGGGTTAGGGTTAGGGTTAGGGTTAGCTCTAGTACTATAGCCAGCGTACATTGACTGCCGCAGGCTGCAAAAGTAGCCTGCGAAAAAATGCCTGCGGCAGTCAATGTACGCGGGCTATAGTACTAGAGCTAGGTTAAGCCTAGGACACACTGTGCGATTTTCTACGCTGGCCGCTTGCGATCGATAAATACGGTGCCGGGTCCGCGCGGTGTGTCCGGTCTCATGGCAGCGTATTTCGCACGCGATCCCATACGCCCGGCTGATCGCTCGCATTCAACATGTTGAATATTTCCGCCCGGAATTTCATCGCTTGCATACAGCGCATGCGCTTGCATGCGCTTGCACCAGCGCGCCCAACAATGAACAATCCCGTTCGAACGCGATTGTTTTTAGCAGCCAATCAAGTGTAGCAACGAAAGCTATAGGAAACCCGTTGGACACCGGACAGTGTGTGCAGCTGTAATCGCAACTCGTACGGCGTTCTAAAATCGGGAGCGAAAATATACGCTGCCGGGCAGCGTACAGAATCGCTAGTGTGTCCTAGGCTTCAGGGTTAGGGAGTAGGCGTAGGCGACTCCCTAGACTCGTTAGTGGAGTAGGCGAGGTACGGTCCGGCATATTAGATACCGGTAGTACCAGGGTACTAGTCCTTATTCATTCACATACCAAAAATGAGCAAAATCCGTTGAACCTGAACTGACTTAATTATGGCCATTTACATTTTTGCCAAAAAGTGGGCGTGTCTCGAAAGTAAGTCGATTGGCGTGCTCCAAAATAGGATGTTCAAATCTCTCCCATAGGAGTGACAACTGTATGCAATTTGAAACATGTGGGTCGAACGATTCTTGAGTTATTGTTGACCGTAGGCAGACACTGTAATGCATAGTGAAATTGCCAAAATCTACCTATAATTTGCATAATTTAAAAAAAATATCAAAACATCTGTGTTGTGTTTTGGGGCCAGTCCTTATTCATTCACATACCAAAAATGAGCAAAATCCATTGAACCTGAACTGACTTATGGCCATTTCCATTTTTGCCAAAATGTGGGCGTGGCTCGAAAGTAGGTCAACTGGCGTGCTCCAAAATAGGACGTTCACATCTCTCCCATAGGAGTAACAACTGTATGCAATTTGAAACATGTGGGTCTAACGGTTCTCAAGTTATCGTTGACCGTAGCCAAATGTTGACGGACGGACGGACGTACGATGGACGACGCCTCATGGCAATAGCTCATCTTGACGATGTCAAGGTGAGCTAAAAATGAAGACTACATTCGCAATATACCTTGGCATATGCATTTAATTCTGTGCAGAAAGGATCCTCATATGTGTTGCTAGGTGTTGACATGCTAGAGAACTTCAGAGTGCTACTTAGTGAGGCCTCTAGTGTGTTCGATGGGAATTTTTCACCTAAAATGACAAACACAAAGCCGTGAACCATCCTCTATAAAAAAGAGAAAACAAATTATATTCAGCTTTGTTACACATTATTTTTATATTCAGTTACTTTATATTATCCAGACTTTAGTTATATAATACATGATTACATTTCAGTATTATACTTTGGATATAAGGCCTACCTATATTCCATACAAGTATCCTTTTGTCATTAGATGTCACTACCTTGCCTACTGATACAGTAGAATCCACATGGGTAATCTCGCCCCTGTATCATATAGTAAAAAGAACAAACAAACTCGTATAATATGCAGTATAGGCTACCAGTAATTATCCATTAAAAAGCTATAGCTACTTTTGCAAATGTTTACAATAACAAAAACTTACAAGTATGATACAAGCTGGGCTATGGTAAGGAGAAAATTGTGTAGGAGTGGCTTTAACGATACACCTCTTCTATAGCAGGTTGTCACTCGTACCTGTTGTAGAATGGCATCTGCACCTCACAGTAGTCAAAATAGTTCTGCACAGAAGGGTTCAACTTCACCTGCAGCATGATCGTGACTGACGATTCCATTTCCTGGGTAAGAAATAACCAGAAAAATTATTTCAATTTGACCAGATCTTATGCCGACGAAATAGATAAACAATTTGCCATCTTATGGACTGTCAAACCAGCATCTGTGACCAACTCCGAGCTTCAGGCTTCATTTTCTAACGTTATTATTATATTTAGCTATCATGGCATTTTTGGATCAAATAAGCTTTTAAAAAAAATAACTATTGGTAATAGTTAAGAAATTGCTAAATACCAAGCAAATTTCCTAGGTGCCAGCACTGCTGTTGGTATACATTTGAGCTCAGAGATTACACTTTCAATGAGAGACCAAGTTTCTAATCAAATCCTTAGTATTTCACAAAATCACACCCGTTTCATAAACGTCTTAAAGAATCAGTGCCTAAGCAACCGCAGACAAGGCTCTAGATACATATCTCACAGGCTAACAAAAGCACTATCCTGGAAGCGCCAATTCACCAAATATCTCGAAAAGTTATCTCGTTTAATAAGGTTCATGTCACATTAATCACGCATCACAAAACTAGATAACACAATATTGTATTATCTAGTTTTGTGATGCATGATTAACGTGACATGAAATTTGTCGTGAGTGGCAACACTATTCTCTCATTCTACTGCACCCTCATCTGGTAAAAGCCTCGGATCGGCAGCTGACACATGTTTGCTGTGTAGTGGCACAGTACGAACATCTCTGGAGGGGGAGTGAAGCAGACCATCGTTGGCAACAGCGTAGAGTCCTCTATCCCTGTGACGAAATGCACACAGGCATGCCATTTTAAACACATGTACGTATTATATGGTGACATGAGGCTTAAAAATGGTCTGTACTGCACCCACTAGGTGTAACTACAAATCTTGTCTGTCCATTTCAAATAACAGGTGTTAGGCATCACTATGAGTCTCCTGTGTGAGCACACACACTGAGTGAGATATTATGAATGTGGGATTGTTGCATTGTAAATTTCTGTACTTCGTAGATGTGGATACATCTCATGCAATACCTACATAGCCGCAATTCAGTTTTCCATGTGATGCATCAGCGCCACCTATATTCTGATAGACAAACCCGTCTGCCCACACCCATAATAGGCTAGATAAATACAGCCTAGCGGCTGGTCACGTTCCAAAACATACAAAAAAACTTAAGTCAATTAATGCATTGCCGTTATTTTATATCTTATTATAGTGGACAGTGCTCACCAGTGAGTGTTTGGTTCCATGAACAATGAGCACATGGGTGAAGCACAAGATCCTGGATTGGTGTAGCACAATCTGCACGATGATAGTCTAATCCCAGAGAGACCTCGGGTGCTGCACCATTAAGCTCAGCCTTGCACGACACCGTGCCATACACCGCCCAAACATCATCGACTCCTGCTTTGTCGTACTAGAAAAATTACACATGTTGAACTGTCAAATTAGTCAACAACAAAATATCAGTGAAAATATGGCACGCCACAATGCATATGCACTTAACCAAATTAGAATGCAATATTAGAAACGATGAAAAATATGATAAAACAATATAATACATGCATGTACATGCATGCCATCCTCCTCCACCACAAACACACTCAAATGAATGCACACACTGTGGACACATGTGTAACAAACCCATGCACGTACGCAAAGCTCCACCTAGGTTTTAAACCTGGCACCATAAAATTGAGAATTTGTTGTTCGTGCAATGTGTTATGCTGTATTGAGCACGTTGCACGTGGCAATTTGCAAATCCAATCACATCATGGTTTACTAACGTGATTATTATAAGGCAGTGTTAAATGTGCCCGTGGATTACCTGCAACCATTCACTCACCTGAGCACATCGTACCTGCTCACTGATAATGATGTACACCTGTGGCTTTCCCTTATACGGTACTGGTCTCCAAGCTGGGCTCTGCAAATAAATAATACAGACATCAACAATAATAAACCACTGTAATGATTGGGGGCCGTTGTCAGAAACATCGTAAAGTTAATGCTAATGTGAATGCTAATGTTGAGACTAACTTTGTTTCTGACAACGGGCCCCAGAAATCTGGTGAAAAAAACTGGTTCGTATTCACTTAGATAAATTGAGACTCATATGTGATATGACTCATCACGTGAGAGACTCACTCTTAACGACGGGCTTCCAGAGCAGGGCTTGCTGTCGAGTAACTGATGCACCAGTGCACCACTGGTGTTTAAAGGTGTTCCAAATGGGGCTGCCTCACACAGATATTTATATGCATCAATAAGCCTTACTGAAGTCTGGAACAATAATGGATAAATTAAAATAGTTGATCATCTCTAAGATATCCATCGGGAATATATATATACAAGAAACAATTACTATATACCAGAAACAATTGTAATCTTACCTCTGTTGTATTATGAGTTAGGGGTCCCAGATAGTCAGCCAGAGATAGCACCAAAGAGAACCCAACAGAGATTCCGGGTCTACAAAGGAAATTATATCCTAATGCAATGTTCATGCATACAACATATGAATTCGACACAATCTGTCTCATAAATTTACAAAACTCAAGATACAAGACAACAACACAAGATACACACACAATCTGACACAAACAATTTACAAGACACTGCTACCAGAAATTAGACTACAATATGGACCCAGCATGTCTACTATCAGTCAATAAAAAACAACTGGCAAACACATGATAGTACTGACATACACTCAAATCGAAATTTGGAATTAAAATCAAAAATGAAAAAACTTTACCTAAACTAAATAACTAAATAATTCTTAATTTTTTAAAATGTAAATACATGTTCCGTAATATATATATATATATATATATATCAGGGGTTAATAATGACAAAGAATGACAATGACAGGGGTCAATAATGACAAAGAATGACAATGACAGGTGGTCAATAATGACAAAGAATGACAATGACAGGGGTCAATAATGACAAAGAATGACAATGACAGGGGTCAATAATGACAAAGAATGACAATGACAGGGTCAATAATGACAAAGAATGACAATGACAGGGGTCAATAATGACAAAGAATGACAATGACAGGGGTCAATAATGACAATAAAAATAATGACAATAATTTGTCATTATTAACCCCTGATATGTATATATATATATATATATATATATATATATATATATTATATAATATATAAGTTTGTCAATACATGCTCATGAGATTCGCATGTAGAAGAACCTACATTTGGATGAGCGGTGGTCTCGATACACCTTGTACATCTACCAATGGTAGACACAAAAATAGCAACCCATTCTGTAAAAGGAATGAAACATACTCATGAAATACAATTGTATCATAAAATGCTCTGCCAATTACATTTCATTCACTTAGGCTATGAACACCACTTTCATGCACAAAAAATTTTTACTGCAATGCTTAAGTTGGAAAAATAATGCAAATACCTAAGCTTATAATAATATCGTCACAAAAATAACTTTTAAACGACTTCATACAAATTAAATATTTCATATTGAATATTCATTTACATATTACATTCATACAATTAAAAAAAAACTATGTGCACAATGAAAATGATTAATTCTTATGCCATAAAAAAAGCCTATCATGAAAGGGGTGTTAGATAATTGCAAACATGGTAGTCTCGTGCATCAATAGCTACCTGTTCTATGATGATTAGTGGCCACAGGTTTCCAGCTGGAGTAGGTAACTGGAACACAGGCTTCTGAAGTACTTTCTTACAGCCGTCTCGACTCTCTATGAACTGGAAGCACACAGTTCAAAAGTCACCCTTTGACAACATTATATATGTGTATATATATATACCTGCACGCACACATGCATGCATGCACATATATATGAACATCTGATTATAAACATGACGAGTGTAGAAGCTATATTTACTAGCCTAGCCTTGTTTTGGAGGTTGGCAAATACGTATGCGGAGACGACGTGTGTGGGGGCCAGTTCCTTTTGTTTGAGGAATTGTACCATTTTGGAGTGGTCTAAACACTGTAAATGATGCACTGTCCATAGATTTTTGAGTATCAGCATTGCCAATGTATGCATTCATGATCTACTTTGCGAGTTATTAGTGTGGATGCATTTGTAATCTCTGGTATCTGGACAGTACATTAAGGCTGATACTATATACTATGAGACATATGAAATCCATACCTTGTATGCTGGGAATCGTAGCCCTATCTCATGTACAAGTAATTCTTCAAATTCTACATCTGATGGAATAGGGGTGTACTGTTCTCCTTGCAAGATCTTTGCTCTTCGTTCCACTGTTGCATATCGCCTGTGTTGAGAATATCAAATCCAATTCTATTTCCATAGCAGTTTCTATATTACAAAAGATGGACATCTGCACCAAAACGAATCAGTTTGCTGCTTGAGAAATTAAAGATAATATTATGTATAAACAATAACTGCTGAAATAAAATAAATTACCACATTATCTACTGTACATCCCTTCAAAATACTATTTAAAAAATGTTGAAAGCAGTGTATTCACTATTTATAGATTTTTGGTTGCATATAAAAGATTACTCAAGAGGTTACAATTAAGGATTCCTGACACTGTTAAATCATGGAGTCCAACAGTAAAACAGAGTATTTGACTCCAGATTTAATTAAGATAATTTGCAAGGGTGAAACAAAATATGAGATTTTCTTGGTGTACATATTGCAATCTTCTCGCAATGTTCAACCTTCTCCTATCCAATGGTCATACACACAGGCACTTGGAGCGTTTCAATAAAATACAATGCTAAATAAATACGAAATCTATTTACTACCAAAGTCTTGTTTCTATTATACTCTCTTTCACCTATTATTGCCGACAATTTCCTGCAAATGCCGTCCAAATGCTCATCTGTAACAAACGCTGGCTGCCGCCATGGCTGCCGCTGCACACTGACACATAACTATATATTTATGTGTCAGTGTGCAGCGGCAGCCAGCGTTTGTTACAGATGAGCATTTGGACGGCATTTGCAGGAAATTGTCGGCAATAATGGGTGAAAGAGAGTATAGAAACATTAAGACTTTGGTAGTAAATAGATTTCGTATATATTTAGCATTATATTTTATTGAAACGCTCCAAGTTCCTGGGGTCATACAGATATAAAACAAGTGCCGCATAGCGACAGCGCTCATCTAACGTCTACTGCGGTGACTCTGTGGTGGAGTGGTGGGATT